TTAGCATGTATATCTAAGATCCATATGCTCCCTTTTGACTTAGTTCAGTAACAACTTAGTGTGCACTCTTAAGTAATGTTTTTAATTTTTTTCTTGGTTTTTAATAATTTCCTATTAATGATAAAGTGATCTAGTATTGACGAGAGATATTTTTATCATATTACTTTTCCATAGCAAGCTATTCTTCATTTCTGTCTTTGTGGCTTTGATCATATTGATATATCTGCATATTTTCTCCTTTCTATTAAATTATCCTCCCTTATAATCTTGTCACATTCTCTTCTATAGTTCCTTTAGTTATCAAACATTTTATAAATTATTATATTAGTATTCAAGATAAAAAATGATTGTCAAACAAACTATTATTAAGAGTGGTATATGGCATAGGTATATATAATGCACATATAGGAGAGGACAGTGTGCCTGACTTTTTGAGGTTGAGGAACTAGTTGAAAAATACTTACAAAAATGTGAGCTGTGGCTGACTCTTCAAAACAATAGGAAAATATGAGGCAGTTTCTAGGGAGCCTGTGCAAATATATAAGAAAGAAGTTATAGAAAGTAGAGTACAGTCAACACACTACTTTTGTTGAAACTGTCATTACTTTTAAGGTAAATGTGTTTGCAGAATTTTTCTGGAATTTTTCTGAAATTCAGTTTTATGGTAGACAGTTCTTTGTACTAGTATGTCAAACTGTGACTTCATGAGTCAAGTAGTCATTTTATGATGAGTGGCTCAAGTTTTGTGGTAACTTGGGAGTCCACAGGCACCTCTTTGGGGTACTTTTCCCCCAGTGTGTAGACATCCTGATAAATAAATATCATTAAGCCTCTTTGAAAGAGGCCAGGAAGAGCAGTTTCTATAGAAACTTTCAGTAGTATGGCAGTGCCACTTTTTATTTTGTGTTTTTTGTTTGGTACTGGGAATCAAACTCAGGACCTTGTGCTTGCCAGGCAGGAACTGTGCCACTGAGCTATATCCCTAGCCCTTGCAGTGCCTCTTTTTAAAAGATTCAGTGCTACCTTCATTCAGAATGTTCTGAGTTTTTGAAGGAATTCAGTTCTGGGGACTGGATGAGGGCCAGTGACTCTTATAATGATTAAGTAAGGTCTCCATTTGCCAGAGTTTTTGTCTTATGTAAATCAAACTTTAGAAGACTGTCCTCTATTTCAGCTGTAGCAATACTGTAATCGATTAATCACTCATACAAATTTCTGTGGGTTAAACCATTTTAATTGTTGTTCTCATCTTACATTCCATTATAGTAGTCACTTATAACTCATCACTGGTGGTTAAGTGCCTCCTTTTGCCACTTTGGAATTTCATCATTCTTAAAGATCCCAGTGAGCCCACGCCAGGAACGTCATTTTCCAGTGTTATTCTTGATATGCAGATAATAGTCACCACAGAGCCTTTACTGGTATATTTCTCAAATCAGTGATGCAAAGAGTGTATTCTGGATCTTGCTGGTCCATAGAGAAAGGTAGGTCGCATGTAATAAATATACTTATATCCTATTTCCCCATAGCTTTGCATTTCTTCTCATTAAGGGGCTTTCAAACTTTAACATGTATCAGATCTCCTGGAGGTTCTGTTAAAACAGACTTTTGGGTCACACTGCCAGTTTCTGATTTCGTAACTCTGGAGTAAGCCCAAGAATTTCAATTTTTATCAGTGAGTAAGGGACATTGGTGGCATTGGCCTGGGAACCACATCTTGAACCCTATTTTTTATATTATACCAGGGAAATTGTGGGTATCTTGATTTTAATGTAGGATACCATTATGTTCACATTTTTTCAACTAACTGAGCAAGGTTTTAGAACTCTTTCTTGAGTACTCCAGGTTAGCAGTTACTCAGGAGCACATAACTGAAAGTGTTTACTGTGTTAGAAAATAAAGCTGATGACTTAAATATTTATTAATATACATTATTGTATTATACAATAGCAGTAGTAATCTAGTTACATTTTAATATGATTAACATTGATTTATTAAACAAAATAGAAGAATGGCATTGTTTTAAACTTTTAAGTCTTAACATGTTGGTTTAGTAGAAGATAGCTGGATTGTCACATGTGCTTCTACATGCAGTCTGTTCCTACATTACCTGTCATGTAGCATCTGAAAACACCACTACATTCCTGAGAGAATGAAGATGGAAGAGGAAAAAAGATTTAATATCATTATTAAATGTTTTTATGTTGCAGATTTCCTAGAAGTATTCAGGGATCCACTACTATACTCAGGTAATGGTATTAGAACCACTGCTGAACAGAATAAACTTCCTATCTTTAACTGAGTAGTGGAGAAGTAATTACTAGGCATTTGCAGCCAGACCAGGGGTTAATTTCTGTCTATACAGAATAACAATAAGTCCTGGTATTTTTTCTTGAACTACTTACCTCTTCCTTTATAAAAATAAAACCTCACGATATGGTAGGCTGTAGGAAATGCTACAGTATTTCATACTTAAGGTGATTGGCTCTTACCCTTCACCAAGATTCTATTTTCAAAGAGGTTGGGCTTATCTTACTAAAAGAGGAAGCAAAAACAGAAGAAAAGAGAAAGTGTGTTGGCAGGAAACCTCTTAGAAGGAGTAGGAGAGAATATATCCCCACTTCCACAGTATTCTTCCAGAAGAATCTGCCCATATTGGATGATTGGAATAAGAATCATCTAATTTGCTATCATTACAGTGCTATTCTTTTTGTGTCCTTTTGGGTATTATTTTTGAGTATTTGTTTTGCGTTATTTTGGTAAGTTTTCAAGCAGTAGCAAGGATAAACATTGCACCATTTCTTCTTTTGTTATTATACATGTTGACAGCAGGACTTTCATCTTCACAATGTTTATTTTCCTCAAAGAATGAAAACACTATCTAGCCTCCCAATCTTTAGAGGATACAGAGAAGTGGCACCGTGTTATTTCTCAGGCTGGGTCATATAAGCCTAAGCACCTCTGTCTTGTTCAGTGAAAAACTTGGACTTGGTGCTGAGCCCCCAAGTAAGAAAACTAATTCTTCTGAGGTGGCCGTGCTGTGGGGAAACCCATGCCAAATGGAGGGGACAGGATTAAGACATTTTTAACTACAAATAAATCTAGTCTTTGATAATTGTAGTGTCCCTAAATGAGGCTCAGACATTCTAGAGCTAAGAAAAGCCAAAAATTTCAGATCATTATGCTAAGAAAAGTATCAGAAACTTCAATGTCATGTAGTTTTTCTTTCATGGGAAATCTAAAATATAAAAGATGAATAAAATATGGACACTTAATAGGAAACTAGAGGGCAGACTCCTGGAGAAAGAGACCAGAGGAATGAGGGGGGTATGGAATAAAGGGTAAAGGGATTGAAAGTGATCAGAATGTGTCATATGCGTATACCATTCCCTAAAATGATCATCATTATACTGCAAACATAACACTAATGTAAGAAAGAAAAACCAACCTTGCTATGTCCTGTGTGAATTTCTGCCTCATCAAATCTGTGACATAGCAGTATCATTTTTACCATAAAGTTGTTATGTATAAATAATAACTAGAACAGGATTGAGTACTGGAAGTGAAATACTGCCATAAGTTTTAGACTGAGCGTGGGTACAAATTGGAAGGGGCTTGAAGAAGAAACTTGGCAGGTGTCAAGTTAACTGTTTTAGCAAGGGCTTTAAGGAAGTTGAAAGTTTTATTGGAAAGTGGGGAATGGGATGCCTTCATTACATATAGTAAAAGACAGTAAAATTAATACTGCCATAATATGTGTATTGGTTACTTTTCTCTCATTGCTGAGACCAAATATCCAACACCCAAAGTTAAAGGAGGAAAGGTTTATTTGGCTTATAGTTTGTAGAGGTTTCAGTTCATAATTGGCTGGCTCCAAGGCAGTGTGGCACATGGCAGAGGCCCATCAGACAGCAGAACAGTTCATGCCACCCACAAGGTAGCAAAAGCAAGAGACCTTCCAGTGTTTTTCTGCCCCTTTTATCTTATCCAGATTAATGGGATTAGGGCAGTGCCAAACCCATCAGTGGGCTGATGCAACAATCACCCATTCTTAATCCCAGCACTCTTAATCCTTGTATTGCACCATTAGTCAGTCACACACTCTACATGCAGCCACCTCCAAAAAAGCCTTGTGACCACATGAGGCTTTGGGAGGACATCTAGATACAACATAACAATATGGAGAACTGAGCATGTACAAATGAACTAAGGGAGAAGACTTAAGTGATTTCCAAGCAAAATGTTGCAAGTGCCAACTGATAGTTTTTAATGATAAAGAAAATTAAGCTTTAAATTTAATTTTTTATTTTGTAAGAAAAGTTTAAAAAAAATATATAAAATTGCTTTTCATTCCTAGCATTTCCAGTTGGGAAAATGTCCTCATTTTGAAAGGGGCCCAAGGCAAAGATCAGTCCCATGGTGCTGATAAGAAAACACCTCCTGGTAAAAATGAAATCTGGGTGTGAGTGAAATCCTTTGTTAACTTTAAAACTATCTCAGGTGGTTTCTCATAGACCTTTTAAAGGGCCTGCATCTTTTAATGGTGTGATAAAGAAGGACTAATTTCAGAGGTGTGTGTGTTTGTGTGTGTGTATGAATTTTATCTAACTGAGTAGATTGAAAATTGATCCATAGGAAGCTCATCAGGTTTTAAAATCAATTTTATCAAATTTCATGAAAAAGAGTAAAAACGAGGAAAGGCTTTTAAGTGCCCGAAGTCTTATGATGACCATGAAGCAGCTGAAGAATATTACTCAGATGTAAACGTCGCGAAGTAGGATGACTCAAAGGGTAAAAATGAAGGCTTATAAAATGGAGCCAAGAGACACAGAGAACAATTTCCAGGGAGCAGAACTAAAAAATTCAGAAACTACTAATATAATGTCATGGTTAAGCTTAGTTTTTCATTTTTTTGTGACAATGCTTTAGAAATTATTCAGTGCTTGTGCCACAGTTGTATGTTAAATGTTTGTGGGCTGACTTACCACTTTGTTCCATAGGCCTTCAGATCAAGAGGAAATGTAGCTGGGGAACAACTTCTGGGGAGCCTGATCTGCAACTCCACATGATTCAGTTGATGTGATCTGAGACTTTGTCTAGATGTTGCAATGAAATGAGACCTTGGAGGTCTTAGGGGAGGAGGTAGAATATTCTGCATGGGAAGGATGTGACTTTGTGGTTAAGGGAGAGACTGTCAGATTGCATTTTTAAATTGTCACAGTATTTTCCATTTTCATGTTCTTATCTGATATGATGTTGGCACTGCCATCAAAAGGTAGAATATGGTTACCCTTCTCTTGATCTGGGAAGGCTTGTGACCAATATCGTATAGTAGAAGTAATGTCATGTGACCTTCAAGGCTGGATCGTAAAAGATGATGCATATTTCACCTCTTTTCACCTTATTGGCCTTTCAAAGCATTTTGTCTTTTTCCCCCATTTAGTTGCTTTTGAAAGTTTTTTCTTTTTTTTTTTTTGTTTTTGTTTTTTGTTTTCCAGTACTGGGAATCGAACTCACGACGTTGCGCTTGTCAGGCAGGCGCTGTGCCGCTGAGCTAAATCCCCAGCCCCTGAAAGTTTTTTCTTTATCTTTGCTTTTAGAAGTTTTTCTGTGATATGCATGTGTATATTTATGGTTTGTAATTGCTCAGTTTAGGAATTACACTTGCATCTGGTGGTATGGACTATTACACAAAAAAGTCCAACTAATAAAATGAAGGTCGAGAAACACAACCTATAAGGGAAAGCTAGGGTGTATGGACTCTTGTCACCTGTATCAGGCCCTAGCCAGTTGCTTTGTTCTTACTGAGGCCATGAACATTGTGTAAACAAGCCAACCCCATCACACCTTGTCCAAATTCCTAAGTTTACAGGATGTGTGAACTTAATAATAAAATGATTGTTGTATGTGTTAATCTTTGAGGTAGTAACGAACAGGTGGGTGACTTAAAAATCACACTATAAGATTCAATAGATCTGTTGGGACAGTAAGAGTAAAGATAATGATTAAAGTATGATTTTCATTGAAAAAGTTTGTGACACACTTCAGATGCCTGGTGGCTTGTTTATTTGGTTTTGAGGTGCTAAGTCATGTGATGGTGTGTCTGAGTTCTGGATTATTGATTTGTCACTGTACATTGGTTTGGACTAGTTTATTTGTAACATTTAATTTGATCTACAGCTTGTTTTACTTGCTTAAAAAACTCAATAAATATGATTATTTCAACTTGTACCCATATTTTATACATAATAAATATGAGATAAAGGTATATTAAGTGAATATTACTTTTTTCATACTTTGGAGAGCATATTCATATGTGTTAAGAAGTGTGACAGTTCTACAAATATTTTAGTAAATAGGGATTACATAAACAAATGGTAACCTCTGTATTAATAAAACATATAGCCTGTTTTTTAAGGAACTTTATTCACCTTCTGTATGTGTTTCAAATACTGCACAAGTCAAAAATACTGTGAGATAACTATTGTAGATAAAAGAACACATTTTCCCGGCAGTTAAGAATAATTTTTTTGCAATTTTTGAGGGTGTTTTACTGACATCTAGTGGCATTCAGTTCTATATGTTAAAAATTCCTTTTGGCTTTCTTCATATCCATTACTCTTTCATAGGTTGTTTTCTTTAAATTTTTTAAAACATTTTAGAGGAAATAGGACATTTCAGGTGTTTAAAGTGAAGATAATATTTTTTGAGGATGCATATTATTCAAATATTTTGTGTATGATCTGAAATAAATTAATAAATATGATCATGCCATTCATTCAAGTGTAGGTTTTTCTCTCATGTTTCCTTTGTTTTGATTTTCTCTTCCCTTCCTTTATCCATTCATGTAATCGCTCCACCCTTACCCTTCTTCTTGTGTATATAACTCAGTGCAACTTTTAGAAAATGAAGATTACATGTTTTTCTGAATCCTACTTTTCTGACTTAGCATACCTCTTGTAAATCTGAGTGAGGTAAGTAACAGAGTTCTAGTTATTGTAAAGTATATGCATACCATTTGAAACAGAATGTTTTTTTTTCGGCTGGTTTTTTACTGTAACCATTAATTTTTTTTCAGTTTTTGCCATCCTGCATATAGCTATGCCTCTATGCGTATATATCATCACTTAGAGTAACTTTACTTTGCTAAGATTACTTTTTATTAATGAAATTGCTGGGTGAAATAATGCATTAATTTTAATAGATATTCTATGATCAGTGTACAAAAAACTTTTTCCTATATCACCATTAGATTTTATATCACTTAAAACATTTCCCCTCTATGTGAGTTATAAAATTATTATTTTGAGTGTCTTGGTTACAGAATTTGAATAACTTTTTGTGTGTTTGTTGACTCTGAATTTATATTTGTATGGGTTTTCTAATTTTTAACTTGTGAATCTGGTATATTATAAGATGTTGAACCTTTGTAGTGGCAAATATTATAATAAAGATTTAACTCATCATGTCTTTGTGTCCATCTTCTGTTTTAGTGACTGATCATGGAATTAGGAAAATCTCGCTCATATGTAGATTATATTCTGCCAAGTTTTTTCTCCCTCTGGAAAATTTTTTATCATTTGAGTTTTTAAAAAAATAAGTTTATGGTATATTTTAAATATACATAATGCTCACATTCATTATAGGGAATTTGTACCTGTACATGATATATTTTGATTTCTCTTTTTTCCCAGTCCCCTCTTCTTCCTTCAACCCCTCTTTGTTTCCCTTTTATCTTTTTCTAAAATCTTTTTTCCCTTTTCCTTTCTTTGCTTTCCTCCTTTCCCCACCCTTGTTCCTCTTTCTTTTTGAACAGTTTCTTCCCATTTCACAATATCTAGTGTACATTTTGGTCCTTATTTAAAAGTTTGTCACATGGGGAGACAATGTGATATTTACACATATGAGTCCGATTTATTTCATTTATGAATATGGTCTCAAGTTGTATCCATTTACCTAGAAATGTCTCAAGTTTATCCTTTGTGGCAGAGTAGTACTCGTTTTATAAAATACCCCACATCTTTATCCATTCCTTCGTGTTATGGTTGATACACTGTGTCAACTTGAGGAGTCAAGAGATTTGGCTAAGTGATTCAGCAGGGAGCCAGAGTGCTTTGTATACATCCTGAGCCTGTGGAAGAGGAAGGCATGGAGATTATGTGAGTGCTACATACCCCCTGGGTGGGGGTACCCTGTTTACAATGTAAGGGAGGAAAAGAGGCTGCTTGCTGCCATTCTTCCCTTTTGCTGTTGTTGTTTTTGCTGTGTTCTGCTGCCATGAATGTTTGCCCTCTGCCGTGTGCCACTCTGCCGTGGAGCCAGCCAAATATGGACTGAAACCTCCACAAACTGTACACTAAATAAACCTTTCCTTCCTTAATTTTGAGCATTGGATATTTTGTCTCAGCAACGAGAGAAAAGTAACTAAGATGCTTGGTTGATAGGCATTTGTGTTGTTTCCAAGATTTAGCTATTACAAACTCTGCTGCTACAAACATGGGTACACATATATTACTGTGGTATGATGTTTTTAATTTTCCAAGGAAGATACCCAGAGGAGAATATCTCCATCAAATTGGAACTCTAATCCTAGTTTTTTCAGGAATTTCCATACTGATTTCTACAGTGGTTGCACTAGTCTAAACTCCAACCAACACTGGAAATTTTTCTTTATCCCCACAGCCACTCCAGCATTTGTTACTGATGGATTTTTTGATGATAGCCATTTTTTTCTGGAGTGAGATGGAATCTCAGCATTGTCTTAATTTGCATCTCTCAAATGACTAGTGATGTTAATTTTTTATATATATTTGCTAGTTGTGTTTCTTCATCTGAGAAGTGTGTATTTATCTCAGATGCCCATTTTTGGATTGGGTCTTTAAATTTGGTGAGTTGGATATTTTTCAATTCTTTATATGTTCTAGATATAAGTCCTTTGTCTGAAAGACAACTGGCTAAATTTTTTTCCCACTCAGAATTGTCTTTTCACTGTTTTGGTGATTTCTTTTGCTGTGCAGAAGCTTTGCAGTAGAATGAGATCTCAGTTATTGATTCTTTGTATTATTTCCTATGCAGTTCGGGTTTTGTTCATGAAATCTTGTTCATGAAGCATGTGGAAAGCCAGTTTTTTCCAGCACCATTATTAAAGAGTGTGTCTTTTCTCCAGTGAGAGTGGCTCCTTTGTCAAAGATAAGGTGGCTGAGTGTGTTGGAGTTGTTTCAACATTGTGTTTTAATCTGTTCCATTGATCCTCAGGTCTGGTTTTTTTTTGTTTTGTTTTGTTTTTTTGCTAGTACCATGCCATTTTTTATCACAGTAGATTTGTAGTATAATTTCAAGTTAGGAATTGTTATGCCCACTGTGTTGCCTTTATTGCTGAGAATGGTTTTTGCTATTCTAGGTTCCTTCTGCTTCCAAATGAACTTTAGGAATGTTTTCTATAGTACTGTGTGGTATGCTAATGGTATTTTGATTGAGATTGCATTAAAACTGCATACTAATTTTGGGATTATGACTATTTTTACTGTTTTTGTTCTTTCTATCCATGAAAATGACAAGGGATATCTTTCCATTTTCTGATGTCCTGCTACAGTACTGTAATTTTCAATGTATAGATCTTTTACTTTATTAGATTGATTCTTAAGAATTTCAGTTTTTTGGATGCCATTGTGAAGGGTGTGGTTTACCTAATTTCTCTCTCAGTGAGTTTGTTGTTTCTGTAAAGTAATGCTCTTTTTTTGAGTGTTGATTTTGTGTCCAGCTGCACCACTGAATTAATTTGGTTATTAAATCTAGAAGTCTTTTTGTGAAGTTTTTGGGTTTTCTAAGTGTAGTATCTTGTCATCTGAAAATAATGATAATTTAACTTCTTCCTTTCCTATCCATATTCCTTTTATTTCTTTCTCTTGTCTAATTACTTTGGCTAATGTTTTGAACTATGTTGAATAGGAGTGGTGATCATGGCTATTCTTGCCTTGTTCCTGATTGTAGAGTGAAAGATTTTTTTTTAACCATTCAGTATGGTTAAACCATTCAGTTTGGCTGTTGGTTTGTCATAGATGGCTTTTATCAGATTGAGATAAAAACCATCTATTCCAATTTTCTGTAGGATTTTTTTCATGAATTTGTGTTGGACTTTGTCAAATGCTTTTTCTGCATCTATTGAGATGATCATGTGATTTTGCCTTTGGCTCTGTTAGTATGGTGTATTACATTTATTGACTTGTATATTTCAACCATCCCTGCATCCTTGGGGTGAATCCTATTTGGTCATGGTATATAGTCTTCTTGGTGAATTGCTCCATTCTCTTTGCCAGTATCTTACTCAGGATTTTTGTATCTGTGCTCATTAGGGAGATTGGCCTGTAGTTTTCTTTTTTGGTTGGGTCCTTCTCTCATTTTGGTGTCAGGGTAATAGTTGCTTCCAGAATTGATTTTGGAAGTACTGCTT